ACAGGTCAGATTGACATCATTTTCACGGAGTTGATCAAAGGTTTGCAGTGCAAGATTTCCATCCGTGTTATCGCTGCCCACCACATGCCGCCGTACTGGTGTGTGCGGGTGTGTGGGTGTGTTCGGTTCTGGCAGGCTGTGGGGGGGGGCGACGAGGTCGCTTGTTTCCACCTTGAGTCCCTGAGGCGGCAGCCTGTCATGGACGAGCTGCGCTGGTTGAATTGTTACGCGCTGGCGGTGATGGACACTGAGCTGATCTGAGCAGCGGAACGCCGGCTGGTCATCGGTTCTTAGTTGGTTTGGAATAGTTAGTTGATGGAATTTTCAGAATTCCCAACCAAGAAAAACAAAACAGTAAGTTGGCTTGGAACTGATTAAACAATTGCTGCTCCGTGCTTAATTACAGACATTCCCATGGATGGTGGATTGACTTGGAATCGATCTTGGCTCAGTCGCTGTGTGGTCTAACGGAACGTCAGTGACGTTCCGTTGGTTCAGATGTGTTCCTAGCATCTGAACCAGCTCAGTTGATGTGGTTGCTGAATCAACTGAATCAACTGGTTTAGGAGCTTGTTCAAATTGATTCAGCTCCCGGGTCCTTCTGTTTGCACGTCCGTGTTCACATCCGACCACCCTCCCTGGGGACCCCTCCGCTGTCAGGAAGAGAATGCCTGCATGGGACGCTTGGTCACGGCTCCCACCAACGGAGCCGCTGGCGTCGTTCCAGCCGTCCTGGCCTACTACATGAGGCGCCCGGCCCGCCGACGCACGACCGGTGGCCCCCGCGGAAAGAACGCACCGAAGCGACGAGATCCGGACTGACCTGGTCGACCTGGTCGGCGTCCCAGGCACCTGCGACCCACGCAGCCAGAGTCGGAGCAAAAGGATCCTGCCACCTTCCTACTCACCGCGGCCACGGTCGGAGTCCTGGCCAAGGATGCCCAAGCCAAGTCTCGGCGCCGCGCTTTGGCGAGATGGCATCGTATGACTGGAGCTCAAAGTGTTAAGATGCAGTTACATGGAGGTTCTATTCATGTTTTCCACTTACCGGGGGGGTAAATTGGGAGTGAGTCCATTTCATTTCCTGAATGATTCATAGCTATATATCATATATGTTTGTTTTATTCGGATTGTTTCAAGAGCATGTAGCTTTGCAGCCACGCAGCAAAGTTCCCATGCTTGTGATGCTTCCCCTTTTTCTTGTGTGGCAGCGCGAGGAGCACGCCTGCATTTCAGGTGCTGCAGGAGGTTGCCAGGCCGAGCTGGTTGTGCGGATGCGAAGCAGGTTTCCACTGACTCTAGCTGCTAGCTTTTAACTTTTAATATGCATGCATGATTATGCATGAGCAATATTGAACAATAGATGCGATTACTTACTAGAACAAATTCCGCAGAGAATCCAAGAATGGAATCTAATCCATTTGTGTTGCATGTCTTCAATCCTTCCCATCACTTCCATTGTTACACCTATAGACCAACCCCCCTCGCCCTGTGAACTGTGACCAGGCGGAGGTGGGCACCGCCACAGCCATGGCCGCTGCCGGTCTCATGGCCGTGCTCAACGGCACGCCCCGCCAGGCTGTGGGAGAACGCGTGACGCCTGGCTTCGGGCGTGGTGGCTTGGGTGGTGCGGAGACAGCGGCGGGATTTCGGGGTTCCAAGAAGTTCTCGCAGATGGCGGTGAAAGATGGCGATAGGACACTTGGAACATTGGTCAATCAGTGCGCCACCATCTATAGTTATAGTTTGGTATGCAGCTTGTGCAATGCATGCATACCCGCCTGGTATGCTGCTGGCGCAGCTCCACAGAATTATGGCAGGACCTAATTTGCTATGGCTATGCCTTGCTATGCCTTGCTATGCATAAAATTATGGCTTGTTAGCTTGGTGAGGTGGCAGCAGCTGCAACCAGCGCATTGGAACACAGCTTGGGCATGACCTGCGACCCAGTGCTGGGATTGGTACAGGCCAGGGTGCCGCCAGCTTCGGGGAGAGCTTTTGGTCCAGTTACAGAGGTTTGGTGCAGAAGTGCTGCTGTTGAGTGTAGCCCAGGCCACGGATTTTCCATGCTTGCGCACGGCAGGCCATGTGACATGTGGATTTGGGAGACCTCCCTGGGAATTCTCATGATCCGAGCTCGAGCCACCCAGCCCAGCCACCCAGCCCACCCTTCGACTTCGCCAGGCCCCGTGCATCGAGCGCAACTCCATGGGCGCCACCAAGGCGGTGAACGCCGTGGCCTTGGTCCGCTCCGGTGCCTCTCAGAGTTTGTTGGACCTGGATGGCGTGCTGCGGGTGATGAAGGACAAAAGGGTCGTCTTGGAACGTCCAAACAGAGGGTTGGGGGTTTTCAGCGGCGGCTGGCCGTTGGCGTGCTGTTTTTGAATGCAATGTTTTGAGATGTTTTGAGTCAAGATCTTTTTGAAACCGGAAACCACCATGTTCGGCGGAGACGCTCATTTGACGCTTAATTTAAACGTCAGCTTTACCATGGTTCACGCGGCACCGCGTGTTAGCAAGTGATGTGCCGCGTGTTGGCCAGTGAGTTTGACCAGGAGACAGGCAGTGCGATGGACAAACGGTATCGCGAGACCGCCTTGGGCGGCCTGGCGGCGGACTACGAGCGATCTCTGCAGGAGACTCCTCAGCTGCACCTTGGAAAGGACGGGAAAGACGGGAAAGATGATCGAGAGATGCAGAGGTGCCACCAAGTTGCTGGAGAATACAAGGGGGATGGAGTTGGAATGGGTTGAGCACGCTTGTGATTACAAACGGTGAGCAAATGCAATCGCATTTGATCGTAATTGTATCAGTTTATGAAAGTGCTGAGAACTCTGGATTTCTGGTCCCAACTGGATGTCCTTCTCTCATGATCAGTGTGGTATCTTCAGTCTTTCCCCCAACATTTTGCGCTTTTCAGAAGATCCTTGTCCTTGATTTTTAGTAGACCTGTCCCATCCTGTCCCATGAGATCTGGTCTTGCAACCTCTCCCAACAGACGAGGCAAGAGGTGGTCACCAGCAGCATGGGCTTCCAACGCATTCAGTCCGATCCTTTGGAGCGAGGTCTGGGGCACCGGTGGCACCGGTGGACGTCCGGTGGAGCAACGAAGCAGGTTGACCTGTTGACCTGGCCAGGTCAACAGGGTCAACCTACCAAAGGGTTTGGAGCTCCAGGTTTGGACTCACAGCGGATCTGCGGATCCCGCGGATCTAGTCCGTGTTCAGGTGCCTTGTTTGGAGGGGTGCCGGGCCATACCTGGGCCAATCGCCCAGGTGTATCCCGCCAGGGTCTGTCCGAACTGACCTGTAGAGCCGTCAGGTTTCACAAGCAAATCACTCTTTTTGGACAAGGCCTGCAACTGAACCATCATCATTTACTGGGTCCAGGATAGATCGGATAGACCCAATGTATCCATTTGCAAGGTTTTATTGCCATGAAACTGCTCTTTGTTGATCTTTGTCGCAGCTCGTGCGGCGATGCACTTCCATGACCCATGACGCAGCTCGATGCGCTGCTCACAAGACTCCTTGAGGCATGGAACTAAGAAGCAGCTGAAAAGGCAGGTGACTTATGAGGACCGCCAGATGCTGTTCAGACACGCTTGGAATTCATGGTCGAAGCAGAAGGAGGCATTGTCGAAGCAGAAGGAGGCTAATGTTGTAGGCCTTCAGAATCTTTTTTTTAGACCAGACGAATTGAATTTGGAGAATGTTATACATATATTCCAACTTTTGGAATATACATAGTAGTAGAGAATTCATGAATCTCACCTGGCTTGTGCGTCAGAAAGGCACCATGTGGTTGAACCATGAAAAATACCACCAGACCATGACGCCGACGACATGAAACAATCGAGGAACACATTGTCACAACTGACTCTGGAGGATTTGGAGCAACGGTTGGTCTTCCAGCGCATGGAGAGCCAGGCCGTCTCCAAGTGCTGAAGAACAGGCGCCGAACCGAATGAAACCGACGAAAACGGTCCACCCAGAGATGTTCGCATGGGCGTCCTTTAATTGCACTATACTACTAGTTCCCAGTGCCCAGGATGTTTGGTGTTCAACGAGTTGTTCCAAAAACAGAAGTGGGATGTTTTGTCTACTTGTGCCGCTTGTGCGACGTGCTGGCCGCTTCGCATAAAGCGCTTTCGCCGCTTTGGCCTCCTCGATGTGTGCTTGGCCGTCTCAGGTTCGAAGAAGACCATCTTCTACTCCTCGCAGATGCTGCAGGCCAGCTGAGCCCAGCTGAGCGCAGCGCAGCTGCTCTTCAGCTCGTCAGATTTGGTAGAGCAATGTCCCACCTGTTGGAGAACTCCTTCGGCAACTTTTACAGCCACGTCCGTTTTTTGACGTTGCTGTTAGTTTTAGGGACTGGGAAATCTGTCATGGCAGTTGTGGTGCCAAGTGGTTGGTGGACTTCTTCGAGACATTTGAAAGAAAGATGACAAAAAAGACGGAACCTCTTCAAGATCTTGACACGAAGCTTTAGATTCCATGGGAGAAACCGATGTGTCTTTCTCTCAATCAACCAATTCCAATTGATGGGTTTCTTCACAAGGCCATGTCAGCTGCTTAAACCAGGGCAGCACTTCTTCAGCACAGGTCCGGAGAGCCAACCCTGCTCTACATGGTGAAGGAGCACATCCTTTTTGGTGGAAAGTTGACTCGATGACCGAGTATATATTAATTCACAGAGAAGAAACCATGGAAGAACATGATGCGCGTATCTCATGTACTTGCACATCTTACACTAGGCCAGAAAAATCCCACACTGAACGTCATGGGAAACGGTTCATTCAACCTGCTGGCAGTTGAGTCACCATTTCCGGCAGTTTTGGCTCCAGATCGGCGCTCCAGATAGGGCGCCCTATGGAAGGCAAGAAACTCTACGCGGCCCAGGTACTTAGGACTTTCCGATTCCCCTCGGGTGGGGCTTTACTGGTAGCGTTTGCCTTTCTGGTGACTGGATTCACGCGTTGCACCCCATCTTTCGCGGTCATGTCGAAACGAGCGATGCCCCAGCCGATTGTCTTTGTGACGGGCAACGCGAAGAAGTTGGAAGAGGCCAGGAGGAGGAGAACTAGCGGGCATAGTCAGCGACCATTGCTCTGAGACATGGTTGACTTGTAGTAGATGCAACTTTGGTCTCGACGGCTTGCATTCTGCAGATAGTACTGTACTAGTACTGCCAGTTCCTGACATGAATGGGCCGTAACATCAGCCCTTCCCCGAGACAGATCCGTGCTCCATCCACTCACAGACATTTCCCGCCAGTCCCTGGGGTCCGGAACCCCGTTGGCCCTTTCTTGGGGCATTCAGCAGGGTGCTCGCACCAAAACCCCCGAGCCCCACGCGGCAAGCCTGGCCGTGCAAGAACCGGCCCCGCGACGCGGCCGACGCGACGCGACGCAGGTGAAGCAGATCTTGGCGTCGGGGGCGGAGGAGCTGCCTTTTGAGGTCACCTCCCAGAAGGTCCGACCCCCCCACCCGTTGGGGTTTCGGTGGAGCGGAGTGGGGTCCTTGAAGAGTTCTAGGATGAAGGATGGTGATGGTCACCACTGGGAACTTACTACCTACCGGGGCCATTATCGACTGCCAGTCAAAGCCTGCCAACCCCCCAAAAACCCTTCAGCCGCGCTGTGAAGTCCCGGCCCCACGACCCGCTCCGCATCCGCGTCCGCGTCCGTCTCGTGCAGGTGGACCTGCCGGAGCTGCAGGGCGCCAGCTGCGAGGAGATCGCGGTGGAGAAGTGTCGCCTGGCGGCGCTCGAGGTCAAGGGCCCGGTGATGTGCGAGGACACCTCGCTGTGTTACCACGCGCTCAAGGGCCTGCCAGGCGGGAGAGGAGGGAGAAGGACTGGGAGAGAGGTATGGAGAAGTGAAGTGAGGGAGAGAGAGGGGTTAGAAGGTGGATCGGTTGAGGTTCAAACCTGAAGATTGGGAGGGGAGTTGGGAGGGGGTGACTTTGGGTGGACATGTGGGCAAGTTCTTCTATGTCCGTCCAATTCTTTTCGTGACTTTTGTGAACATGTGGCTCTTGGTCCAATCAATGTATGCTTGTGATTGTTGACTCTTCTATTTCCCTTTAGTGAGCTTTGTAGATGCCTCGTTTTACAGTTCTACCCTTTTCTCACTCTTCAATTCAACGGGGTAGGGTTAAAAAACGCCAGCTGAAGGCCCTTATATCAAGTGGTTTCTGCAGAGCCTGGGCCACGATGACCTCAACAAGCTCTTGGCGGGCTATGAGGACAAGTCAGCCTATGCCCAGCGCGGGCACCCAGGTCACCCCGGGACGAAAGCACAACGGGTGCCATGGTGTTGATCCCTGGCGGACGATTCATGTATAACATGTTTTTCTTGCGAACCTAAGGTTTGGTAGCACTTTTTGGAGCTGCTTAGCAAAGATAAGAGTAGGAGAAGCAAAGGTGTGTAAGCTTTGCAGGGACCCACTGGGTCCCTTCGGTTGGAGGGAGGTCGGGATCTGACCCGCAAGGATCGTTGCTGATCGTTGAGGATTGTTCGCGCATCGTTCAGATTCAACGTCCACGGGCCAGACCTGATTCGTTCGCCAGATTCGTTCGCCTCCAATACAGTCGAGGAACGGCGACCGCAAGCCAAGCACAAGATCCAACCCCGAAAAAGGTCCAAAAGTCCAGAAACAAAGTCCGAGGCTTGCCATCTCGGGTGTGTCAGTCTTGCCATCCTCGGACTCCTCGCCCTTCCGCAAACGACCGGGGATGCCCGGAGCGGCTGAAACGGCGCTCCGCTTGCTTCGTCCGCTCGGTGCCCAGGTGCCTCTTCACCCTCTGTGCGGGGCCTGGGAAGGAGGTGCGCGTCTTCGATGGACGGACCGAGGGCAAGATCGTTGAGGCGGGATCGAGTCAGAGGGAGATCAGAGGGAGATCAGAGGGAGTCAGGGGGGAGGAGATGGGTGCAGGGGCTCCGGAGTGGAGGGAATAGGTTTTCAAAGAAAAACACCATGGTTGTTCATTGTTCCTCTTCCTCTTGAATATTTATAGCATTACATATTACAAATCAGCTGCAGATGCTCCAAACCTCATGGATTGGCCGTGTCACAGCAATGAAGATGGTGGCAGCTTCTTCATTTTTCTGATTCTTTCTGCATCTTTCTTCTTTTCCCGGCTTGCTTATTTTGTTTCTTGGTTTTTCTTCTGTTTCTTGTTCCTGTTTGTTTAGTAGGTCGTTTCTCCTTCGTTCTGCTTCTTTCTTATTTTCTGGCTTTCTTATCTGGCCTCTGCTTGGCTTGTCTTCTTTTTCTTGTTCCTGATGTCTTTTCTTTGCTTCTTCTTCTGCAGCTTTTTTGCTTCTTCTTCTTCTTCTCCGTTTGTCTTCTGTTTGTTCCTTTGTGTCTTTTCGTTGCTCCTTGATTGTCATCACTTCGTTTCAGGCGTTTTGGGTGCCTCGGTCTCAGATCGCGCCACGGTCCTCCAACACTTGCACCAGCGCCCTCCAAGCGTTGGCGGAGCGCAGCTCGAGCGCTCGCGCGTAGCCCGGGCGGTGCGTCCGAGTGGGCTCAGGCGCGGGGGCCCACGGACTTCGGTTGGGATCCTGTCTTCGAGCCCTCGGAAAGCGGAGGGCAGACCTTTGCCGAGATGAGCAAGGACTGATCGGCTGTTCGTGGCAGTTTTTGGAGGAGGGATTTAGAACCCAATCTGCGATGACTCGCTCCAGACCCCGCCACGGAGTCGGGCCAAGCCCGGTCAAGCAACTCCTCAAGTTTCAGGGAAGGTCAGCGGCTCATGATCAACTGCTCATTCTGGGCGGAGTCGATGAGATTCCAGGAGGTCCTTTGTGACTGGCTCCCTTGTGGCTTGGGGTCTTCCCCAAAGCTTTCTTCGGGCAACGGAGGGCCCTTCGGAGCCTTCTGGACCCTGAGGAAGCGCCGGAACACAACCCTCAATGTAGAAAATAGAAGGGAACCATCCTTGTTGTAGCTGAAAGGGGATGAACATTTGATTCGAACATGGAGGATCCCTCCCTTTGTAAAAGCTTCAAATGTGATGAATGTCAGTGATGACTTTCCCTCCCGGTGTCCGCCTACAGCACAGTTCCCCGCGGGCGCGCTACGACGCGTGCCTGCATGCTTCCAGGAGGCCAAGAATGCGATCTCTCACCGGGGGCGCGCGCTGCAGCTGCTGCGCACCTGGTTGGTGAACCACGCCGAGACCTTCGCACAAGAGGCCGCTTAAGAAGGCGACCGTATACCCAAGCTGGCGGAGCGACCGAAAAGCTGGTGCGACCGGTGCGTGGCGTGGCTCCCAACCGCGGTGCGGAGCGGCCCAAGCAGCGCCGTGCGGCTGAAATAGATTTTGGGGCCCCAGTGGGGCACACTGGCGCTGGTGTGGGAAAAAAGAACTTGCGGAGAGGTAGGAGACCAAGTCGGCTCAGTGCACACTTTCCTCTACCTAGCTCAGTGCATTTTCCCCATGAATGCTGAAGTAAGAAGCCCACTTTCTCAGCATCGGAACCTCCTGGCAACATCACACGATGCCCACCGGCGACCCCCTCCCACGACGCCAGGAGAACGCCGCGACGGCCGCGGCGGTGAGATGGCAGCGGCGAGCGAAATGCGGCGAATCCTGGGTGTGGCGCCTTTGCATCGTCCGTGAGAACATGTATAGAAACACCTATATAAGGAATTGCTTGTTATACAATTATAGACATGACATATATGTTTTTTAATTGAACAATTACATACAGCATTACATGCTTAATACAATTTTCTAAGAATTGCTTTGCTGTGGTGACGCCTTTGGATCAGGGGTGATCTTCACTCCTTGTAATCCTCAGACTCCGGGACTCTCCGATGCCACCGGCGCCACCGATGTGTTTTCAGCCCAAAGGGCCGCAACCGGCCCGGACTTCTGTGTGACCAACCCGGCTGGAGCAACAGGAGCGGGCCTTGGCGGAAGGGTTGGTTTGTATATACTTTTTCATCTATCTCTTGCAATACGCACACACGCAGTCACACACCGATTCTTTTGTAGTGTAAAACAATAAATAAATAAATACATTATAAATATATAAAGACAATTATCTTGTATATTAACATATGTCATAGTACTATGCCACTATGCATGATTATCGAGTAGATTCGTGTGGATTCCACGCCACCTCCAAAAAACGACCTTTTGAAGGATCCTTTTGGGCTCTGCCATGGGACCTCGACTTGACTGGACTTGGGCCCATGTGAGAAGCCATGCCCAGCATGTTCATCTCACGGCTCCCTTCGGAAGCCCAACTCTTGATGAATCAAACGCCAAGTCATTTGTCTTTTTTTCTTCAGGCTTTTCGTGCAGGAGGTGTTTGATTCTAGACCGTTTAGCTGTGTAGACCTCACGGTCTCGCCTCCTCCTCCTCACAGTCGACTGCCACCGAAGCCCCTTTGACTTGCCACAATGCCGTGGTGATCCCGGTCGACTGCCGAGCTGGTCCCCCGCGGTCCGGTGCGGAGACTCAGGGGGGGGTGAAACCCTCTCGGCCGCAGTGATCGTCATCCCCGTTTTGGGTGGTCATAGTTAGATACCAACGGTATCCAACAGTGAGAGATTTTGAGACAAAGCACATTCTGTAAAAATAAGCACCCCACATGAAGAGGCTTTTCAATCTAAATGGGGGGAAGTTATTCATCATTATATAGCAATATTCTGTACCATGCAAATACCACCAGTACTCCCGAAAGATCAAGGACTTTCCCAGGTGATGGCGTGACTTGGCCCGCCCAAAAAAGAAAAGACACACCACCAGCACCAGGACCATCCTGTCTGGAGATCCCCGTCTCTATAGACATCCCACTATGGTATATATACCTAGAAGCTGCTTGACCTCTGTTTTGGAGCCAAAATATGGTCTTAGTCTTTTCCTATTAAAGCAGAGGTCATGTCTGGGGACCAGGCCAAAACCGGAACACCCAGACCTGGAGCCCTCCTGGTCCAGCCGCCTCACTCCACTCCCCCCTCACCGCCGAGGCGGACCGGATCGGGCGGCGGTTGATGGCGCACCGCGCCGGCACGGGCGACGCGCCGATCCCCGGGCTGGTGACCTCGCGCCAGAGCCCGGGGGGACGAGAGGGGACGGTGAGGGGGTTGCGTCTGGGGGGGAAGGAAGGGAGGAGTTGCGTCAGGGCGCGATGGGCGTGATGGGAGGAGGGAATTGAAGATTCAAATTGCTAATATATTCTAATGAGGATCCAATGAGGGATTTGAGGAGTTGGATGGAGTTGCTTGGAGTTGGATGGTGTCCTTCTCTCTGTTTTTTCCTATCCAACCCAGTTGGACTTGGGAGCTCCAATCAAGTCCCATCCATGAAGTTGGATCTTCTGAAATGCAAGTGCAAAGCTAGAGATGGACCTTCAAAGGGCGCCCAATGGAAAACACCCACAAGCAATGTAGGGTCATTATAAAATTGGAGACACCGAACGGAAGGTGCTGGTAGGTTTGGTGGTCGGGTGATTGTATAAGGTCATGCATGTTGCTCAACAGCTGATGTTTGTGTCTCCTTCCAGATGAACAAACTGAGTGACTGAGGCCGGAACCCTGCATATAAGCAGAGGTTACAGAAGCAGAAGGCAGATGGACGGGTGGTGAACTGGACTGCCCAGCCGAGTGGCACTGAGGACCTGATTGGCTCTCAGTGAGGCGACCAGCCCGATCAATATCAATGCTTACTGTACTTGGATTTTTGTTGACCCCAAAGTAGAACCGTAGGTCGCCACTAAACATGTATCGGACACCGTTTCTATCAATTTGGGGATCTTAAAAGGATTGCTCATTTTGTGTGCAGGGTGAAGGGTCACTTGACCTCACACGGGGATCAAGCTGCACGAACAAGCTGGCAAGGGTTCTTCCGGATCGTTGGGAGGCCGGTGACCTTTTGGCTCTTTGGAGGTCCAAAGCCGGACTCCCCGCGCCCAGAACATCCAGAACCCACCTCCAGGGACCTGGATCGATTCTTTCGTGCCTTTTGCTGGGTGGAACCTGCTGGGTGACCCAATGCATTTCGACGCCGCGACCCGGGTCCATCCGGGTCCCACCCCCATGGTGGCCCTAAGGGACGGCCGCTTGGAGTGGCGCAGCAGTATCAACCAGTTAGGGAGGGAATCGAGCTATAGACTTCCACGCATCTCTGTTGTTTGGACGTGGTGCTGGCGCTTTCCGCAGATCTTGGCTCATGCAGAAAAGCGGTTCATGAAGCGGTTCGTGGCACAACGGGCCTTTTTTTTGGTGAGAGGGCAGATGAAGAGGTGGCCTCCCAAGCATTTTTTGCCATTGAACTATTGCCATCCTTTACCTATGCAGGACTGCCAACCTAATACAGTGGTTTCAGAGTAGATGGCGTTGGCACCCCTACATGTCTTAGACAGATCCATATATATATAAATTTATATAAACCATCGACTTTTGGAGTAGCTTGTGCTATCTACTCTCAATCCACCATAAATTGACCCACCCCTAATTGAATGGAACATCCTCTTCTACCTCTCGCGCTCACACGGTCTGATGTGAGACTTTGCTGCAGGCTACCACCTGCTAGCAGAAACTAAACAACAGGATCCATTCAGGATCAACCCCAGAAAACACCTAGCGTGGAAAAGATGAGACAGGGAAGGCCCAAGTGTCCAGGCTTGCTTTCACAATGCGTCGAGAAATCACAGCAAGAAACTCCAGAAAGTCATCGGCAAGGTAGGGTGCCGCATGGACGATGGCACCGGGTGGCATGGATTTCCCCCATGCGTGATGAAGGCGTGAATCATTTTCACCAGGAAAGATCGCAAATGGCACATTTTTCCGACAAATCTTGAGGCACTTTTTAAACCAAACAATTAAGTCCTGGAATGTAAAGTGCTCATTTTGCGCAAGCTCAACACATTGAAACCCTTGGTAGTAAAACAGGAGAGCAAGTTCGGCATGCGAAATGATGCGATTTTCTGCAAGGTTCCATCGCAATTGCCGAAAAAAAATCCCAATTTCACTCCAATCTTGTGCATGAAGGATGTGCAAAGATGTCGGGTATGGTGGCCATTCAAAGGTGAGCATCCATGTGTAGAGATTGGGATCTGCCTTCCACGCAAGTCTGGGAAACTGCTCTTGCGGTGTGAGAGTACTTTCATCTTGGTCACTGTCGGGTTCAGCTGGCTTAGGGGGAACTTCATTACCAATCAAGTGGCACATGGTAGTGAGCCATTCTTGGCGCTGTAGGACAACGTTGCACACAGTTTCAAACATCTGGGGATACATGGGACAGGACTTTAAGGCTGCTTGCTTGGCTGCATGATCGGCTTTCCTATTGTGACGAATGTCAGTGACTGTGGTGTCATTAGCACTGGCCATGTCATCGTCAATGAGGTGTTCAGGAACATGTTCAAGCTTATGTGCTGGTATCCACACTGCGCAAAGAGGGTGGGGCAGTATTTCACATCTACCGAGCCATGCCTGGTGCAGCCATCTCCACCAGTCATGATGAGGCCATGTGGGACTAATCTCTCGTGTATGAGTCATAGTGCATACATGGTTAACCAATGTTTGGCAATCAGACCGAATTTCAACTGGCCCCGATGCAATGCAAAAAGCAACAAGCAAGGCCCAAAATTCAGCACTGTAGCTAGTCAGGAGCCAATGATGGACGGGTCCATGAGCACGAATGTTATTGCTCTGATCGATGACAGCGAAACCGGCACATGTCAAAATAGGGTCTTCAGCCCAGATGAGAGACCCATCTGTCCAAAAGGTGCAAGGATTTGCATTAGGTTGAGAAGGTTGTGACTCAAGAGCCCAAGGATTGGAAATGATGAGTCTCCGATCAAGCAAGGCCCATGGATGCTCAACGATACCAAGGAACTCAAAGTTACGACCTAATTCATGGGCAATTGGGGGCGGGCAACAGAGCTGCACCCATGGACAATCCCGAAGCAAGTGAGGGACAGACTCCTTCTCTTGCTTACAAAAGCGACAAAGCGGTGACTCGATCAGGTTAGCGGCGGCAAGACGATCATTGGTAAGAACACACCCAACGAGCTGCGCAGTGAAAAAGGCATGTGCAGGGACTTCCCCAGGGACCTGCAGTTGAGACCTACGTAGAAAAATGGTGGACAAGAATGGGTCAATGACACCTGCAGGCGCACGAAACTCCTTCCGTGACTGGAGGGAGGCTTGAGCATAGCAAGCTTGTCTACACAGCAACTGCAGAATCGGTTTAGCATCTTTTGGGGTAAGCTGGAACAAGTGACACACATGTTTCCCTCGATAGAGGATGTTGGCATTGCCATCGAGTTCAAGGCTATGGAAGCGAAAGGCTTGTTTGACACACTGCGCAAAGGAGGGGGAATCAGGCCGTGCTTTCTGTAGAAGATCGCAAAAGATGCTCCTCTGATCTGGGTAATGCTGCAGGAACCTGAGACAGTCAAGAATGACATGGTAATTCCTAGCACAGACAGGCTCGACCCGATGCGGCTTGGTGAGCAGCGCAAAAACCAAGAATCTAGATCGCCAGTGTGGGCGTTTACCCCAAAACACATTCGCAATAGCACCCTGAATGCGACTGATTTGCTTGGCAGGAATGCGGTTAAGGGTAGGGCAGTAGGTACATTGAGGTATTACCTTAGAGCCTATGAGTTTGGCTTTAATCTGCACAGGCAAAGGCAGGGCTGCAATGTTATGGATGTCTGCCAGAATTTTTGCACATTTGGTGTCCGAAAAATGCATTGCTTGACGATTGCTGGTGCGAATGTTCACGCCGAGAACTTCGAGTTCAAGCGCAAAATGCATGGTGGGAAACAAGGCTTTAGCCTTTCTACGTGCCTCTGTAGTGGTGCCCCAGACGGTGCATTTCGCCCAGTTCATGGCTTGACCAACTAAGGCGTCCCACTGCTCTGTGATAGCAATTGCTTGCCGAAGGTCATCTGCACGCGAAAGATGGGCCCACAGGTAGGCATCATCTATGAAGGCTTGAGCTGTGACTTCGGGAAGCGCAGAGAGGAGATGAACCCACACTTTCATGTGTACGTTGATAGCAATGAGAGACAACGAACACCCTTGGGCAACCCCGTTAGGCCCATGCGTGGCTTGCGGCGCAAACCAAGACTTAAAGGCCAGGTGTTTGGATAATTGCTGATACAGCTTGGAGAAAATGACAACCACACATTTAGGAACCCCGAAGGCGAGCATAAGGGCTGCTGCATAAGCAGGGATGATTCGGTCAAAACATTTGGCCTTGTCAATTTTGACACCAAGAATCGATTGCTTATGTTCTTTGGCTTGGTCAATCTGAAGTGCGAATGAGGTATGGATGGCAGGCATACTTCTATTGGGGATTCCACCCTGCAATTGCGGTGGCATAACAGTCATTTGCCACTCCCGGAGATGGTGGAATCTAGCCCCTGTATAAGCAAGCATAACCACAGGCAGCAACGTGATCAACCGTTTCTGGAGCGGTTCAGAGCTCCCATTTTTGTTGAGGATAATCTGCTTGGCAGTAGCTAAGGCTTGCGGAAGGGGGTCATCACTTTGTTCAATGCGCCGGAAAATGTAAGCAAAATTAGACAAGACTGGGAGTGACAAGGCCTGTACTTCACAAGTGCGCCATCCGTCTAAACCAGGTGCCGCATCTTTCCGGCGTGCAAGGATGACTTTTTGCAAATCAGTTGCATGCAGCTCTGGAACATCATATTGTTGGCCATATTGGTGAATGTGGGGCCAAACAATCTCCAGCATCTTAATCGGAGGAGGAAAACCCTGATTAGCGGAGAAAACAGTGTCCCATTGAGTATTAATTTCAGCAATGGCCTCTTGCGGATCGGTTATGATGTTGCCTTGGGAATCCGTAACAAGGTTTGGAGGCTCATCAGCAGCTCGGTTCTTGAGATGCTGGAAAACGAAGGCAGAGCCACTGTGGGCGCTCTGCTGAATCCGAAACTTCCACCTCTGAATGCGTCGAAGCTTGCTTTTGATTTCATCTGTCGCAATGGCATCCTGAACCCATTGCAGTGCTTGAAGCGTTTGGACCAAGTTGGGACGTGCTTCATAAGGCCAAAGGCATGGAGCTTGTAGCCAAAACAAACGATTCCAAACCTTGACAATGGTACGATACTGGATCTGACTTCTCGGACCAGGTGCAATTGGGGACGAATGAAAAACAAAATCTCACGAAGTCCTCCAAGGGCGTGATGCAACCAAGAGGAGCGTTTTGTGACAGCGCATCCATTTGGATGCTGCCCTGGGCAAATGACTTTGGAGCGTGTTTGAACCACATCAACTCGGCTACGAGGTCCAGAGCCCCAGGAGGCTCCTCTGGCCAAGAGAGAATCAACAGCTATTGAGTTTGCTTTTTGCCAACAATCGTCGATCGATAGGCCATGGCTATCAAGGATGGTCGCATCAGAGAAATCCTGTTCGACATGTTGTTTGAGACCATGGAGGGAGAGGGGAGCAGTCTTGTACAAAGTAAAACCACGTTGCCACAGTTTGGTCCAAGCAAAGGTGATTTGCAGTGGGGGGTTGATGAATCAGGAGTCTACATTACCCAACACCCTCGGCTTCTTCGGTACTTGAAGCAGGTACTCGGTGACCCTAAACCGGAGCGACTGGCCTTTCTGCCTCCCAGCTCCATCGGCCAATCAGCTGCGTCAAGAGTCTTCCGGCCTCAGCCACCCCGTTGCTACAGTGCCGATGCAGATCTACGTGTGCCTCGCCAGTGGGCGCTCGGTTCTGGTGCCGACTGAGGCCGAGGCACCAGCAACTTGGTGTCGAAGGGACGGCGGGAGGCCGAGGCGGAGGAGACAGACATCAGATTGAACCAGCATGATGGAAAGAGGAATGAAAAGGGATGGACAAGGGAGGGAACAGGGGGAAAGGTCAACAAGCGGAAGACATATCCTATCAGTATTGTGCGACATGGATAGAAAGGTGATTCGTCTATTTTGTTGGACATCAATGGACGGTTCGTGGCGTTCGACCAAACCGGGGACCATTTGTTTGTTGTGGACATCTCGATGCGGTACAATCAGGTTTCCTTTGGCATCCATCTTTGAGCAACCCCTCTAACCATCCTCAACCCCTCATGATGTTCCTGTCCCTACCTGGTCCTACCTACCTCACCCGAGCCATGCAACTCCAGCCTGGTGGTGCTGGCGCAGCACCACCACCCGGCGTCGAAAGCTCGCAGCTGAGGTGTCCGAGCTGAAGCTGGCAGCGCAGGAGTGCTTCGGTGTCGCCGTGCAAAGCCTGGTGAGTGCGGCGGGAGAGATCCTGCAGGGAACTTTGGCCGAGAGTGGTTTGAAGGACCCGGTGCCGGACGGAGAGAGGTGGAGAGAGGTGGAGGGGGACGACGCAGCCTTTTTACACCGCGCCCACGGTGTGCGGTCGTTTCCGCGGGCACCAAAGCATCTCCAATCACCGTCTTCGCAGATATCGATATGTGCAGAATTTCTACCTTTTGGCTGGGTTTGATGCATGAAAAGGCAGAAATTCTGCACAGTTGGAAGATCGCTATAGCTATCTTGGAGGCATCATGTGGGCCTGGGTGTGTCCACCCGTCCACCCGTCGAGCGAGCGCCTGGCCATGGGGATCATGGGGCATCCTTTGGACCCGATGGTCTCGATTTCCCGGACGACGGACGGAGGGCCGCAGAGGTTGGCCCGGCGTGGGGCAGGCGGGGTGCCAAGGCACGCGCCGCGTCACGCGCCCTGTGGATGGAGGACAAAAGTATCTTCCAAAGGACGCGCATGGAATTGCAAGGCGGTGAATTCCGAGAGAGGACTGCGATCACAACTGATGCAAGTTGGCCCTTGTTCTCGGCTTTGATCTCATCCAATTGGGGAAATTGGCAGCTTCGAACACCGCACGTGAGATGTTCGAACACACAGGTCGTGCCGCGCATGTGGGGCCCTTGCTGAATGAGTTTGTGGTTATTCGCAGTGGTTGCTGCATGTTTTCCGACCAATGTGCCCTCCCTCCAACAATCATTGGAAGCTGACCCAAACCCCCTGTTACTGTTAGAGGAACATGGTCTTCCAGGAGCCTACTTGTATGCTCCACTCCCTGAAACTTGGTTGATCCCTCCCTTTCTTTATTTTCTTTCGATGCTAGAGGCCCAGCTCGACCAATTTTTGGGCAACACCGAAGTACAGGAAATTCCGGTTTCGGGTCACCCAAAGACTATATGAAATTCTATGCTCCTAGAGTTTTAGGGGGATGACTTGCACCTGGATCGTTTCCAAAAAGCGGCGGCCAATGGCCGAAGCGTTTCGACGCAGGACGGCGACACCGTCACCGCGCTGGTGCAGCCGCCGCGGCTCTTCTCCGCGCGACGGGCCATGGCCTTCGCGCTGGTGCGCAGCGACCAGACGGTGGTCACGTGGGGACACCCGATGGTGGGAGGCTCCATCTCTGACGCTCGGGCCACCGAGGGCCGCTCCGGGGGAAGGCCGGTGTTTCACGCGCTGGGAGGAAGGAGTACACGCTGACGAACACAGAAAACATGGTTACGTGGATGGCCCCCCCGGCTCGTAAAGGAAAGTAGTCTTCCAAGGGACCATGCCATCCACTTCCATGTTAATGAGTCAGAGTGTATAATGATGAGTTGGTTGGGAAGAGGATGTTTCATTTGATGGCTCACTGGCCTCAATTTATTGGAGGAGGTGCTGAAGGAAGGGCTTTGGCACTGGTTCCCCCCACTCCAACCAAGAGTTTCTTATATTTTCTCCATGAAGATATGGAAGATGCCTTTGGTATGAAGGTATGAAGGTATGCAAGAGTCTCTCAAGTTCTTTGTTTTGGGTCCTACTTGAAGTCGTTGCACTCAGATTTCCCCAGCCTGACCCCAGCCGGCTTCGGCTCCTGAAGGGGTGAACCAATGGTCAACAGGAGGCCTCCACCAGCTGGCCTCCACCTGTTCCAAACCCGTCCCACGTTGCGACGCACGCGGCTCAGGATGTGAAGCAGCTGAGCAACGTGCAGGAGGTCTTTTCGTCTGACAGCTCCTTCGCAGCGCTAAAGGCTGATGGCACTGTGGTGGCCTGGGGCATGCCGTACAGCGGGGGCGACTGCCGTAAGGCGGCCGTTTCGTAGCCGAGGGCGGCGGTGGTTTCTGGCTGTAAGAGGCTCAAAGGTATGGTGACTTTGGTGAATGCAACACATTTGAAGGCATACATGCGGCATACATGCAGCAACGTCCATTTCCACAACAGCTCGTGCATCCTTCAACACCTTTTTGTGATGTTCATACGTTTTTTTCTTCCCTTTCCCTCCCAACCTCGACCTCTCCACACCTGACCTCGAGGTGGAGCGCCAGCTGACTGAAGTGCGCACAGTGGTGGCCTCCAACAGCGCCTTCGCCGCCCTGAGAAAGGATGGCTCGGTCGTGACCTGGGGCGACGCGGCCAAGGGCGCCGAAAGTCAGGAGGTGGGTCGCTGAGAGCTGATGATCAATTCAACTCGTGGTGATCTGACGCGTTGCACCCCGCGAAAGGGACATGTACCAGGGGAGTTGGAAGGGACATTCCCGTGCGGGCATGTTGCTGGTGTACCAATTCCACTTCCACTCCATGGGACTGCCATAG